ATGAAATATCACATAAAAGTGAACTTTTGAATTACAATATATTTTTTAGTACTAATAGTTATTTATTGAACAGGCTCAGCCGCTTTATCAGATACGAGGTTTATGGAGAACGGGACGTATCAGATAAGTTAACACAACAGCGTTTCACATGATCGGCGTATAATTTTCGATCGGTTGTATGATTTTGCGTCCAAACTAGCGAATAAGATCCTCTGCGCTATGCGATGGAGATACGATGCAATAAGATGATCAAATAGGCTAGTTTAGGGCTATTGGGTTAGTAATCTAAGTTGGTGAGCATAGAACAACGCGATAGAAAGCTTCCAGTACTCTGATACACTGCCATTGTCAGTATTTACCAATAAAATATAATATAACGTGAGACGTAAGAAGCGTATACCTATTGGCGTTAAACTAGGTAGACCTAGTTTAACGCCACTACACGGTATCTGAAACTGTACTACCATGTATTGGAGGATATGAGACTTTCTGTCAATTATCATAGACATCCAAGATATTTTACGTAGCGTCAGTGATGTCGGTCGTAAGATATAACGACGGGCTGCAGAGTCCTAGGTGCGGGTTATCTGGCACTGCCTGCTAAACGTGAACATTAAGGATTAAAATATTTTTAACGTGGTAGAGCCATGCTGCAGCTATATTATGGTTATAGCACCAATAGTTCGGCTCGACCGGGGTAGGGTCACGCTCTCACAGAATACCAGCGTAAAATAGCAGCTTAATGTTGCTGTGTTCCGTATGGTGAGTGTAGAGAACCGGAAACCCTTTTTACTGGAAACGAGGCATTGCTTCTCAGTCCTCAGAGGTGACAATGCATTTCGATTCTTAATTGAACATAAATGATGTCTATGGGCCACAGCATCCACTTATCATCAGGTGGACTGTGACACCCTTATTTTATAAAAAAATCCCCCTACAAGGTAGACCTAGTTTAACGCCAATAGGTATACGCTTCTTACGTCTCACGTTATATTATATTTTATTGGTAATTACTGACACTGGCAGTGTATCAGAGTACTGGAAGCTTTCTATCGCGTTGGTCCATGCTCGCCAACTTAGATTACTAACCCAATAGCCCTAAATTAGCCTATTTGATCATCTTATTGCATCGTATCTCGATCGCATAGCGCAGAGGATCTAATTCGCTAGTTTGGACGCAAAATCATACAACCGATCGAAAATTATACGCCGATCATGTGAAACGCTGTTGTGATAACTTATCTGATACGTCCCGTTCTCTTGTTTGCCATTTAAATATTCACTTAAGTTATAAGCTATGAAAATAAGCTTTGGTATACAAACACTTTTGATCGTGGATTTCATATGCATTATATTCGCTATTTCGCATAACCTCTGCGAAATTATCGCAAAACTAATGATTTTTGGTATATATCTTTGTATTATTAAATGTTATTTAACTTATTAATATATATAATACATAATGTAGGATACACTAACATCATTATCATCATCAGTTGAATCATCATCATCTTTTTAAGTCCACTGCTAAGCACAGAGTTTTCTAAGAACACGTCGGCTGTACTCGTATACGATTAGTGTACTTCCTTTTTTTTATTCAGTCCGTAAAAGTTTATAGCTAGACATGGGTCTCTCCCGTTGTAGGAACGACATGACATTTAAAAAAACACTACACACTTACTCTGATGTAAACGCTATTTAACGGAAGAAATAAAATGTTTGTAGCATTTTGTATAATAGCTTACTACGATACGATACCCACGGGAAGAAATGAGATGATGCATTAGGATAATACATGTAGGTAGAGTATCCGGAATTGTGCATTAAATATTGCGTAGTAACGAGCATACAGTGCGTAGTCACCTGATAGTTAGTGGATGCTGTGGCCAATTGACATCTACATTTATCCTCAATTAAGCCGTGATAGCTCAGATGGTTAACGCTTCTGTTTGCATGTCTGAAGAATAAGAAAAAATATATTTCGAAGACATATGAAATTCGCCAACACGCATTGGAGTAGCGCGGCGAACACTTCCTTGCCCTGAAACCCTCTCAGAAATGAGGGGAGGCCCCGTATAGGCTGTAACTTTACTATCTATCCTCAATTAAGAATAAAAATGAAGATGCTTTGTTATCCCTATGGACTAAGATGGAAAGCCTCGTTTCCAATAAAAACGGTCTCGGTTTTTCTGTTCTCACCATACAAAACTCAGCAGCATTAAGCTTACATTTTATGTTAGTATTCCGTGAGAGCGTAGTCCTTGCCCGGTTGAGTCGATCCATTAGTGCTACAACCATAATATAGCTACACTATGGCTATATCACTTATAAAATACATGTTATTTTATTGAAGAGTTGACAAATGTGTTTTAAAATCAGTGTTTTCTACTATTATTTCATTTTTATTTTCTGTGTCGCTGTATGTCCGAACGTCACGGGGCGACAGAACGTCGAAGTATTGCGAGCATTGGTCGTAAGTCATCGAAACACTCCCAAACTGTTTGTTGCTTGAATCAATTTGCTGCGAGAGCGAGTCGCACGACCCGGCTTGCACGCTATCTGAGCTTCGACGTATAAAAATCTCTGAGCCCTCACTGACCGGCAAGCAACTCGATAGTTCGTTAAGTTAGTAATAATAAGATAATATGGAATCTCTGAGAAATGAAAACGTGTTTGCGCCATTTGCTGTAAAGACTATCCGTCCATGGAGTACACGTGCAGGGACGTTACTAAAGAAACTGTATCCTTAGATTGGTCGTCGCTGCTGATAAGAGAGCTGGTTTTTTTCTCGCTGAAAGGCTACGTTTGGTCAATCAGCCATGAAACGCAGCCAGCGTTCTTGGCACTATTCCGCGGAGAGTAGGACTGTATAAAATAGTTTGATCATAAATACGAATGTTTTTTTAACTGAATTTTCTTAAGTTGTGACAGTACAGGTCTATGACAGAAAGTTTGACAGAAAGTGCATTTGTCGATGTTATCTTCTTATGGGCTTCCCGCGAAATTATGCAGTTGGGTCACCAGTTTTTCGCAGATTGGAGCATTAGGGTCGTAGCCGACAATACATACTGTGACTCCAAGCGATGAATGCTGGTGCTCCTCAAGGTTACACGCTTTCGTCTACCTTGTTCCTCCTGCATAACAATGATAGGTTGCAAGCTAGTAACATACTATGTTACGCAGCACTATGTACGATTTCTTAGGAACACGTCATCCAGTGCAGGAACGAATTTGTGTCTGAAGTCTTTGTTAAACCAAGCCTCAGACAAAGGGTGACTAATTGTAGTTTACTTTTACCCTCAAGAGATATGTTTACACATATACCGCTAAATACTGTCGTTACTACACAATTTCAGGGCACTCTCCTTTTTTTTATAGCATAGGATGACAAACGAGCACACATTCCACCTGATGGTAAGTGGTTGCTGTGGACCATAGACATGTACATTTATCCTCGATTACGAATCAAAATGCAGATGCGTTGTCATCCGTGAGGTCTTAGATGAAATGCCTCGTTTCCAGTAAAAAGGATCTCCAGTTCTCTACACTCACCATACGAAACACAGCAGCATTAAGCTACTATTTTACGCTATTCTGTGAGAGCGTGGTCCTTCCCCGGTCGAACCGACCTATTCGTGCTACAACTATACTACTAATATAACTGCAGCATGGCTCTACCACGTAAAAAGCTCTACCACCTGCTTTAGCCGGCACTGGAAACCTCGCGTCAGAATCCTCATCACTGAGCCAGGTCACCGTAATAGCAGCCCCTTTCACTTAACTGAATTCAACGTAGAGTGGCTTCAATCGTCAGCGATACAGTTCTTTCCAATCGGTTCCGACCGAACAGAAGTTGATTCATTGACCTTGCGAAGAGACGTTGCATCTTTGTGCACATTTTATCGCATACATCACGGGGACGAACACTGCTCAGGGGAATGATTCGGATGAATTTCAACTACTAAATTGAACTATCGTGCACTAGGACAGAACTTGAAATCCCATTAACATCATCTCGATGGTTGTCAGTTAACTACCGTAAGTTTTCACGGATTTTTCTGCAACGCACGACCACCTTGTGAAATTTACTCTCGCCAGCGGTTTATCCGGACCGAGAAGACTCAGGGACGTTCAACAAAGGAGTCTACTCCTTTCTAAAAGGCCGGAAATGCATCTGCAATTCCTTTGGTATTCCATATGTTCGTAGGCGACGGTGATCACTTACCACCGGGTGAGCAATATGCTAATTTGCTTCCTCTTCTAAAAATTTTTTTGATTGAATAAATTTTTTTTAAACATTTTTAGTAATAATTTGATGAAAGTTAATTTTTATATTATATGCTTTGCAAAGTAAAAGCCAAAAATACTTCCTAAAGTTGAGCACAAATCTTTAGTTTTTAAGTGTTTCAGAGCAAGGAGAGTCCACAATATCTTCGAAATTCGAAACTTAGTGGTGGCGGCGAGGATTAAGCTTAGGTTGCCCCCGTTCAGCGTTATACATATAAATTTTAAAGCAAGCACCTAGCTTATGAATTACCAGGGCTTAGATGCCATGTTTTTTTTAAAATAATTTTAACCTAAATTATTCAGAGAGAAATTTTTCTCAGATTTTTTATACTTTTGAGTCGCATTAAATAAAAAAAATATTGTGCCCGTAAAAAAATACGTTGTGGTTTTTAATGCATCTTTTTTAAAGCTTCTAAAACATTCGTTATTGTGATTTGTTAAATTTACGCGAACACTACACATTGAACAAAACTATTATTTACGGATTTTATCAGTCCCCCCCGTGACCATGGGTGCTGTAAAGCATCCGAAACGTCGGGATAATAATAAAAATAAAGTAAAATCCTTAAATAATAGTTTTATTCATTCGACATTGATGAAGAAAATGCAAGGCGAAATGAGTTAAAAGTTATAACTATTCTATGTATGAAGGTTTGGAAGGCAATTTAATGGTCCGGGTGGCTTTCGAATTAACAGACGTAACAAATATAAACCTTTTCTCTTCTTCATATGGTTCACAATCAACATGCACTATTCCCAATCACTAGGCAATTCTGCGAACTCACATTTCTCAGTTCACTACTGTTAACACTTTGGAAGTTATCACTGTTAAATCGCTTGGGCAAACATGTTCCAATGAAACACTAAGATAAATCACTAAAAAGTGTTTAGACGAGAATTTGGCGCGTTAGGTGACCGGCGCGGCGGTTCTGTGTCTACTGGCTGCGTGTAAGCAGCGACACCCGGGAAGCTATTTCTGTGCTCTACTGTACATACAAAAACCAATTTATAAAGAAAATATTACGATCATCGACCCGCTATGTGTACTTAATTGATTTTCGTTAATCATTATAAGCAAAATATTCAACACATGTACCTATGTGTGTAGTTAGCTAGTTCTGATAAAATTGTTAGATAGGTAGTTGTTGCGGTCTTAATTTATAAATTTCGTTTTTACGGTTCCGTAGATAAACAACAAGGAACCCTTTTAGTTACGCCATATCTGTCCATCCGTCCGCGGTTTTACTCAGGGACCATAAGTGCTACAAGGCTGTAATTTGGTATAGCTATATTATAGATATTAATCACGGCCACAAAGTTGTAAAAAGAAATCTTAAAAACATTTTTGAGTACCTCCCATACATGTTTTGAGGTACTTTTTATTTCCTGTCTATTCTACCGTGTGGGGTGTCGTTGGATAGGTCTAAAACTAATCACAGCTAAGTAAACATAGAGTAATAGCCGACCAAATTATGAAATACACTTGTATTATTGAAAATTTCGTTAAGATTCCAAATAAAATCCATTTTTACACGTGATAAAGCCAAGCTGCATAGACGTGGTAGAGCCATGCTGCAGCTATTATAGTTGTAGCACGAATGGATCGGCTCGACTGAGGTGGGTCCACGCTTTCACAGAATACCAGCGTAAAATAACAGCTTAATGCTGCTATGTTTCGTATGGTGAGTGTAGAGATCCGGCGACCAGTTTTACTGGAATCGAGGCAGTCCTCAGGGGTTACAATGCATCTGCATTTTAATTCTTAATCGAGGTTAAATGTAGATGTCTGTGGGCCACAGCATCCACTTACCATCAGGTGGACTGTGTGCTCGTTTGTCACCCTTATTCTATAAAAAAATTACCTAAAACTAGCTGCTAGTTAACTAGTTATAATAACTTGGTAATGTTATTGTAAGCTGTAATAAATAAATATTTTTGAAGAAAATGACATATGCATTACCACTATAAGGTCTAACCTAAGGAAATAAGGTCTACCAAGTTTCTGGGAGTAGTCATAGACCAGGACCTAAACTGGAAATTACATATAGAGTCTTTGTGTAATCGTATTAATAGTTTTGTATATGCCCTTAACAAAATGAGAAAAGTGACAAACTTACAAACGGCTCTTATTACATACCACGCGTATATAGCTTCCATTTTGCGCTACGGGATAATAATGTGGGGAAATAGCACAAATATACAAAAGGCGTTTATAGCTCAAAAAAAGTGTATTAGAGCTATCTCTGGAATACCGCCTGGCATATTCTGTAGAACAGTTTTTGCAAATCTCAACATACTTCCGCTGCCGGCACTATGTATTTTTGAAATAAGCTGTTTCGTGAAGAGAAATATCAATTTGTTTATGAAAGCAAGTGACATGAACACAAGATTGAAGCGAAATCCTAATAGACTTGTGTTAGACGTTATCCCAAGGTCAGCTAAATACCATAAAAGTTGCCTAAAAATGTGTTTAACGATATATAATATAATTCCTAATGACATCAAAAATTTAAATATTAATCAATTTAAATCAAAATTATTTAAGTGGCTCATTGACAGAAAAATATATGACATTAAAGACTTTATTGACATCAATCCCTAATACTATTTATGTTATATTATATATTTTAATTTATCTTTAATTCAATGTAATTTATTGTAATGAGACTTTGTGATATTATTTTTATGATTATACAAGATAATAATATTAATTTTGCATGCTATTTGTAATAGCGAGACATGTGCACCTTTTTAACATGTACCACCTTTATATACCATGTTCTTACGCAAATGAAAATTCTGATTCTGATTCTGATTCTGATTCACTATAACTTTACGTTTTCCTCTGCAGTGTAGGCAGATAGAATCGATCGCCAAGAGACCGATCCTGAACTAAACTTTTTCTTATTTTTAGTTAGTAATTATTGCAGGTCTACAGTTTCATTCGTGGTACTCTTGATTTACGCGGAGAGCGATGGTTTACAGGAAAGTTTGTTACGATCATGTATATCTTAGGATTGGGGTTGGCTATAGACGGCTATAGATTGATTTTAATTATGTTTTAAGTCTAAGAGGCTTTTCAGGGTTAAGCTTCAACCTTTTACACTATTTTTGAACTACGGAAATGCGTTTTGAATTAATTACGATAAAATAAATTTCACTTAAAATTGCATATATAACAACAAATATGTCACTTTGGTTTTTCTTAACAAGGGTACACCATTGAAAAGTTAATCACTCGGACCCAGTCAATCCATTTGTGGCTGAAGAAGGGACTCATACACAAAAAATAGAGTAGCAGTGGAGAGTGTCAGAGGTTTTTTAGAAAACAAAATTATAACAATTCACAAAATTTTGCAGGTATATTTGTGGAGGCGAAATGTTGAAAAATATAAAAAGAATCCATTTAAAGAAATTATGCGAGCAATAAAGCATGTATATACAATAAATGGAATACTTACGAGCAAAACAAAAAATCACATTGTTTCATTTACCGCTATCAGCAGAGTCTAGGAAAATCTGACTTTATAGATAAGATAGTCCGAATCTGTACTAAAACCGAAACAGCACGCTCGCTCTAACTCATCATAGTCTTGTCTGCCCTACCCATAGAGTGGTTTGTAAAGCGAGGAGAGAGAACAGTCCCCGCCCGCCGTAGCAAATCCCAGACATCTGTGAGAGCCGTAGCTGAGGTGAGCATATGTGTTTGCGAGGGCGAAGGGGCTGCACTTCCCGCAGCGCCACGCCGAACCTATTTCAGAAGTAGCTTTGGGTCACTATTTCTGTGTAGAAAAGTGAGGTCATGATTTTACACAAAAAACCATTGCTCATAAACTATATTTTCCTGCTAGAGATAAAGGTAAGGGAGCTTCCCCTACACCCTCCCCCCTCCCTTCACCGTACATAAGTAAGCACCGGATATCCATAGTTTTACCTAGAATTGCACTTTCAGGAACTAATAAATGGATATGAGTATTTTGTATGGATTTGGAATGTGAATGATTTGATGTAGATTTTTTTAGTACCAGTCCTTATAAGTCTGCTTAGGTACCTAAAATAAGTCTAGCAGTTACCATCATCCTATTTGGGCCCATTTTAGTCGTCATAGCGGTCTAACCGCAAAACTCGGTTAGTATACTCATAGTATCATGAAAGCCCCTTTTAAGTTCACGTATTGTGACGGGCAACACTGTACACTCGTGCCCGATACCGAAGCCCGATACCCACTTGACCGGCACTTCTTGGCACTTCTTTTTACCATCAGAATTTCCAAATCCACTGCCGAAGGCTGCAAGCCAATTTTTATTTATTTATTTATTTAGAATAACTAGAAATCAGTACACCACATTATTGAAACAAAAAAGAAACCATTAAAAAATTACACAAGTACCTGATAATTAAAGGTTATCATAACATGCATAATATTTCTACAATGGTGCAAGAAAGAAAATTGGAAATCAGTGCCATAAAAAAAGTATTACAAAATAACCGTTTGAACCACTGAACAATATTTTGCATATAATAAGTTTAAGTTTTATTACATGTTTGGTAATAAACCTAGATATTTTTTTTTAAATATCTAGGTTTATTACCAAACATGTCATGAATTTTTTTATCTAACATCCACTAAACATATAACCCCAACCTATTATATATAGAATGTCGCAGAAATCGACGATAAGTAGGAAGTGGGTGATAGGCCAAGTCCTGATACTTATCATAAAAATAAAATAAAAAAATTATACTTTAAAAAAAGTAAAGAGCTCTAAAAGACTGTCACGGACTCAATTTTTTAGAAGCCTATTATTTTTAGAAATATAATTTAATTTTTTTATTTTATTTTTCTGATTAATATCATGACTTGGCCCATGATTACCTATTTCAGGATTGACGTCAATTCTGGGATTACCTATATAAAAGACGAATCCTGAGGATGGGTGAATTTGGTATTAGGAAAATGGAGTTGGGTGTCTGTGTCTACTTCAGCCGGAAAACATGAGGATGCGTCAAAAAATCTTAGTCCAGCCTTTAATAAAAATCTCTTAAATACTTCTCTTCCGCAGCATAAATTTGCCTTCTTACTCTTTCTTCTTTCATTATTTCTTCGTGTCCAAACAACAGAAGCATTACTTTCTTAATCTAAGCCACAACATCGTTTTACAAATTACACTTTTTTTGATTAAAACTACTTTTACGGATTTTATCGCGTTTTATTTATATTAATTTTAATACCCGACGTTTCGGGTGCTTTCCAGCACCCTGGACGGGGGACTAGTGACTGACGTCTCGAGAGTCAGTCACCTCAGTCCCCCGTGACCATGGGTGCTGGAAAGCACGCGAAACGACGGGTATTAAAATTAATATAAATAAAACGCGATAAAATCCGTAAAAGTAGTTTTAATCAAAAAAAGTGTAATTTGTAAAACGATGTTGTGGTTAGATTAAAAAAGTAATGTTTGAAAGTAAATGTAAAATCCGTGTAGTTTTAATCAATGTATAGTGTTCGCGTAAATATAAGAAATCATTACACTTTTTTTCTTACTCTCACTCTCTTACTACATAATTTCTCGCCCTATCGATACAACGTATAACTATTATACGAGTTACTGGTTTTTACGTGGTAGAGCAATGCAGCAATTACATTTGTATGGTTGAGTATGAATGGGTTAGCTCGACCGGGGAAGGACCACGCTCTCACAGAATGCCAGCGTAAAATAGTAGTTCAATGATGCTGTGTTTTGTATGGTGAGTGTACAAAAC